GGAAATGGCCTCGTCTCCTGGTGAAAGTCTCATGAAACTCCACACAAGTTGCTTGGAGTGATCACCTCCTTGGCAAAGAGAGCTGATCACCCCAGGGGCTGCCTACCTGTGGCTCCTAAAAAGCTGTTTTTTTGCATGGCACTAATTGTGTCTCTGAGACACTCATCTCTTGATGCCCTCATGTTGCTCCCTGGAGGTCAGAAGAAAAGGGCCAGCCCCTGTCTCTCAGCGGGAACCTGGGAGAAGTACAGACAGTGTCCACGTCATCTTTTTTCCATGCTAAACACTCCTGTTGTCTCTTATCACTTGATGCCCTTCTAGTATGGTTTATATCTAGAAGTCCCTTGAGAACATTATGCGCTCCCAGGAGGGACTTTTGGAAGGTGATTGGATTATGGAAGGTTACAGTTGATTAGCTGTTAGGAGCTGACACCTGGCTGGAAGAGGCAGGTCACTGTGGGTGTGACCGGGAAGAATTTATCCCTCTTCATGGGTCTCCCTCAGGGCTTTCTGCTTCCTGTCCACCACACTGTGAGCAGTTCTCCACCATGTCCTTCTACCATGTCATCCTGCCTTGGCATCAGTAGACACCAGACTGCAATGTGAGTCAAAACAAATCTTTCCTCTTGTAGTTGTGAGTGTCAGATATTGTGTCTCAGTGATGGGAAAATGACTAAGACATATCCTCAGCTTGACGTCAGTGCCACAGTGTCCCTGCACAAGGTCCATGCCTGCTATGGGTTGACCCATTTGGGTCTAGAGAGTCCCCACAGGACCAGAGGCCAGATATCATCTCTCCTGAACTGAACACTTGTGTCTCTTGGCTGACAACCAGGACACTGGGCTGGCTACACTTGATTGCTGAACTCATCCCTCTCCTTCCAGAACTACCATTTTGTCCTAAAATGTTCTCTTAGGCCAAAGGAATGGGTAACACATGCAGAGGTGTGTTTTCCAGAGTTACCCCTAAAAATGAGAGTCCTATAAGATGCTGCACAGGAAAAGGCATCTGTTGGTAAACAGCTGGGCAGTGCTGTATATTGTAGTATGTAAAGTTATGAATTGTGTATCTGCACACGTGTATATATGCATGTGTGTGCACATATTGTACTGTAGTCTTCTCTTGGAGTTCCACGAGGCACAAGAGCAGGCCCTGAGACCCCCCATAGGAGGGGCTTAAAGAGGGGTTTCTGGAAGAGATTCGGTTATGGGGGCTTATAGTGGACTTCCTGGTAGGAGCTGGGATGATACCATCAACATGATTCACTGGTACATTGCCTACCTTAGGGACCAAAGAACACTTTCTTCCCAGAATATGCATTACTGGAAGCTCCACTCTGGAAAACGCCATTCCAAATGACCAAATTATGAAATGGATTTGTTCTTTGGCTTGCTCAAGCCCCAAATCTTCCTTTGTCCAAATGTTTTCAAGCCCGACGATGGCTGTTTTTGAATTCAATTATATGTCTAGTCAGTTCCTTCTTCCTTTATTGGTACTTACTGAGCTGGTTTCACTAGGATACATAAACTGACTTTAATGAATGTGCAAGAGGCCAGATAAGTCACCTCCTAGCACCCTCTCAGCTATGCTAATTCCGAGTGAGCTTTCCTCTGGTCACCACCAAGACCTTAGATAAAACTGAATGTTTACAAACTGTAGCCAGACTCTCAGGGAGGGAGGCTGGGGGGGCCATTCCCAAAGTTCAGGCCCTTTCTCTATATTTTCCCTGATTTCCATTGCATGTCCCTGATCACACCCACGAATGTAGGAGTCACTGGTGTCACAAAGCAGGTAGGAGAAGCCAGCAGTGGGAGGGTCACAGCCAAGCGTGGGAACCAGCCCTCATTCTTCACTGAGCTGCAGGTGTGCATCAGAATGGGTCTTCTCCAAAGGGCTGTCCCAAGATCCCAAGCTGCCGCCAGCTCAGGCTCTGCAGATGGGAGAGAGTGGGGTTCCCAGGGTCCATGGCAAACTTCGATGGAACAGAAAAAAAAAAGGCCTAGAGGTATTGCTTCTGTCTACTTTCCAGCAGCCTGAACTTGGAACTGCTGAGTTACACTGGGACCACATCTGGCCGACTTGACAGTTTTCGGCTGTCAGCACTGAAGTTGCCTGATTTTTGGAAGAACCTCATTACCACATATCATATGAGGTGCAGTCTATGCTGAGTGGATTCTGAGTTGGTCAGATCTTGTGTATTAATCTGAAAAATGGGAAGCAGATTAAAGTTCCAGTATCCTTCAGAGTAAATGGAAGAAGATAGATATTTCAGAGCTTATCTTTCAAATGTGAGATGAAGAATTGCTTTAGGGACTCGGTTCCTTTCCTCTCCTTGTATGAAGCAAGTTAGTGGCCTTTAGGCTCCCTCCCTGTGGCTTGCAGGGCCCCTACCTGGACAATGTGTCAGGTGGGGGCTCCTGGAGGATGCTGAGCTACAAATCCAGGGCCCCCTTTTCAGGGTAGGGAGATCACTCTTTTCCTACCCATGCTAAGACTCAAGTCATTGCTTCTTTAGGTGGAATCAAGGGCATAGAGAAACAAATGCAGAGTACAGAGGGAGACCCAGGATAAAAGTCACAGACATCAAGATATCAAGAGAACAACACAAATGTCTACAATTTCCCCAAAAGCTAGCAAATGTGGGGACCAAGTATTGACCAGGGCTCTAGGTAAGTTTTAGACCTAGAGAAACAGAGCTTCCAAATCAGCTGCCCAGTTCTGTATTGATTGTAACTGCATGAGCATGAAGTTCAATTAGCCACTGAACTAGAATAGATGAGAGCTATTGGAGGCTTTGGTGCAATGCAGATCACAATCGATCACACATTTTGCTTACTAGAACAGTTTCAACTTCCTGCTCTCCCTTCCAATACCTGGTGCTTAAGGGAAGCTGGCTCTGATGACTAGAACACTTTTCTGACTTGTTCTACTCTCTCACTGTCTCTCTCCCTCCCTCTCTCCCTCTCTGTCTCTCCACTTTCAATTTATCCTCTACACTGATGGAATAATTGGGCCATAGAGCAAATCTGATTATGTCACTATTCTGTTTAAAGCTTCCTGATGATTCTGCATTATTTTCAATGTAAAGTACAAACTCCCTAGCTTAGCTTATTTTGCCTGCATGCCCTGGTCTGGCCAATGCAACTGTGACTCTTGTCACTCTCTGTCACACAACTTTTGTTCCAAGTTACTCCAATTCCTAGCAATTTTTTTCATATAGGCAAAGGAAGTAGTGTCAAGACTCATCCCAAACCACTTTCCTTTCCTCTTGGGGACATAGCTAAAAGTGATGGGTTTGAAGGCTCTAAAGCATGGCAGTTGCAAGATGGAAAACACTGCTATCCCTGCATCTGTGGGTGGAAGAGCCATCCAGAGCCTTCTAGCCAAGAACACCAGTGCTCAACCACTGCAAGAGCCAGAAACAAATTTCTATTGGATGCAATCATTGCCCCTTTGGGGGTGTTTGTTATGGTAGTTAGATAGTCAGTATATTCTAACAAATACATGGGCATGATTTTGTGGACAACAGACCTTTGCATGTCATCTCTCTACAACACCTTCCCTTCATTTAGCGTCTAGATAGGTCCTAACTGTGCTTCAGCACTATGAGTCACCCCTTCCGGAAGCCTACTCTGGTTTTCCAGGCTGACTTAGGAGCCTCATCTCTGAAGTGCCTCAGAATCCTGTGTTTTCTTTTACCAAGGAATTTTACCAATTTCTTTTACCATGGAATTTTAACGGTTTTTTCACTTATACACTTATGCAACCTCTGGGTATATAGATATCCATTAATTGTGACAGGTGACCATTAATTATAATGTCAATTTGACTGAATTACGAAATGCCCAAGGGATTAGCAAAGCATACTTCTGGATGTGTCTGGGTGGATCATGGAGGCATGGCCTTGGGTACCATATATGGTCCCTACCCTGTTCCTCCTTGGCACTGTTCTCCTGCTATCCCTTCCTGGCTACCACGAAGTAAGCATCTTTGTTCTACTATGATGTTTCTGCTTAGGAATCAGCTGACCACAGACTGAATCCTCTGAAAGCATAAACCTTTTGTCCTATAGGTTGTGTGTGCCAGGAATTGTGTCAGTGACAGAAAAGCTCACCAATACAATATACGATAAAGGAAATCAGCATGTCAAAGAAACAAATGCATGTTATTGTGTAGTGGGGAATTATTCCAATAGGTAAGGTACAAAATTATCTTAGGTGCCCATCAACACATTAATACATAAAAATGTGATATATATCAATATATAGTGTATATATATATAATATATATATATATATTATATATATATATATCACAGGTGTCTGCAGAAGCCAGAGCATATCTGTACTGTCATTTGCAGCAATATGGAGGGCATTATATAAAGTGAAATAAACCAGACACAGAAAGACACAAGCAATGCACGCTTTCTCTCATTCATAGAAGAAGCACAAGCAGGCCTGAACACATAGTGATTACTAGAGGTTGGGAAGAGGGTGCGTGAGGGAGGTTGGAGAATGAGAGATGGGAGTTAATCAGCTCATGCTATATGTATATATTGAAATATCTGAATACATTAACATGTACAATTAACTACTGCATTTTAATAAAATTAAAAACACTAAAAAAGAAGGCTAAGCTTACAACAGCCCTGTTAGATTGGCTGTGACTAGGCCTATTTGGCACAGAAAGATGTGGCTGAGAAGTTAGGTGACTTGCCCAAGGACACATGGCTGGTGAATGGCAGAAGCTGGAGTCTGACCCAGCCCACCTGTCCTCTGAACAGGGCCTCTTTCCGATGCACCTCAAGCCTGATGTGCCTGTTTCTCTAAGAGACCCAGTCCCCCAACCACCCCCCCCCCAGATATGCGGCTCACACATCAGTCCCTACCAACCCACAGAACCCTTGCTTCCACAGGCAGTGGCCCGTCAGTGTGGACTGAGGGCAGCAGGGAGGAGCAGCTGCTTGCCCCCGCCTGGGCAGTCAGGCAGGCGTGGCCTGCACTGCAGCCCAGTCCCTGCAGGAGCAAACACAGGGCAGCTGGGTCAGGTTCCCTCGAGGTCTCAGAGAACAGAGCCAGGCTGGAGCCAGCACATTTCTCAACCCCCAGGCAACTGCTGACCAGGCCTGCTGGGCTCTGGGCCTCTTAGTCTCTGGCTCCAACAGCAGCTGGGAGCGGCGCAGCTCTTGGCAGACCGAACACCCTGCAGCCTGCTGGCAGGTAAGGCCAGTGTCCTTAGTGCCAGGGACCACCCCCTCGTCTGGGAGGCCGATGCAGGAGCTCAGCCAGCAGCCCCAGGCCCAGGTCAAGCCTTTGCTTGTCTCAACAGCCTGCAGCTGAGCAGAGGGCCCTGCAACGCTGGCAGGGAGATCAGGAAGGCAAAAGTCCTATGCCATGGCTCAGAGGAGAGGTAGTGGGGAGAGGTTGGAGGGAGTCTGGGGCTGAGAATGAGCTGTCTCGGTGATTATTACTTAAAGAGGGAACTCAGCCAGGCACTGTGATGAGCCTACACAGCTCCAGCCTGCAAGAAGCCCAGAATCTACAGGGGGAGGTGGGCACAAGGCTGACAATCTCAGGACAGTCAGTGTCAAGGGAGGAAGCTTCCTCAGTACCATTACTAACTGTGATTATGGGCTATAACAAACTCCACAGGGTTGAGTTTCCTGGCTTGTGAATTGGGACTAACAGTGTCTACTTAGAAACATGTGGGTAAATGTACTGAGCCAAGTGCCTTGTGCATAGAAGCTGGTTGCTAATGCTACGTGGATCTCAGACCTCCCAGTCAGATGCAGTGTGCAGAGGTCAGGGTTCCGGGCTTATATTTCACCCATGGTTTTTTTGTCTACTGCTGAGAACTTGGTCATTTCCAAGTAGGAGAGAGGTGGAAGGCAAATTTGGATGATATTGGAACAACTGCCATCAGTAATAGCTTCAGGATGTTCCTCTCTCCCTACTAGGCTCGCTCTAAAAAATCATCTCTTTGATCTGGCTAAGGTACAAGCCACAAGACAGACAGCAGCGAGCCTAAAGAAGCTATCCAATCTAATAATCTCAAAATAATGAGTCTGGGTAATCTAAACTTGATTAAAGAAAGACTCCTTGAATAACCAAGGACAGTCTGCAATTGTAAGAGTAAATCCTAAACAAGGCAGCACTTTCAATTTGCAAAGCTCCAACATTATTTCATCTGGGAAACCCTGATAGCTATGTGCCAAAGGAGAGAGCTTTGCAACAGCCTCTGAATGCAAGGCACTATAGTAAGGATCCTGATCTCACTGATAAGGATGCTGAGGTTCAGAGAGATAAATTAAACTGCTGGAAAATGATGAATCCTGTGTTATTTGCAGCATATCAGACTTTTTCTGTAAATAGATGGTAAAGGGGGAAGGTGAACAGTCAGGATCCCTCCCACCAGGCAGGAAATACAACTAACATATCCAGCCTCTGTGCACTGGTCTTGGACATGGGTCTTTGAAGCAACATGTACCAACGATTCCCTGCATCTCTGCTTGGCCCGCCAGCAGGCACGGTCCCTGTGGGTGGGAACTGTGGAAAGATGAGAAGGAGCCATTGGCACAGCTGGAATGCAAGCAAACAGCAAGGCTGCAAAAGTTGGCTTGGATCTTACTTGTTGATGGAGGATGTGCAAAATATGGAAATAAAAGTTTCTCAACCGCACCATCCCTGGGGAAGAGGAGGTTAATTAGATGTCTCATAGCACACAGCTCCTAATCACTGAGCAGTCTCCACCCTCGGGTTGCAAACTCCAGCCACGAGTCAGGCATGATGCCCAAAGAGACAGCTGTCTCCTGGGATGCCAACAGCCGCTAGGTGCCACACTGTGCTGGAGGTTTGCATTCGCCAGCTGTTAAACCACTCCCTGAACCCAAGTATGCAGGGTCATGAGTGTCCCCAAGTGCTAGATGAGAAACAGAGGTGGGAAGGCTATCTGAGTAGTCTGATCTGGGGAAGAAAGTGATGGTGGTCAGCGATTCTACAAACAAGAGGAAAGGAGCCCCAAATCCATAAAGAAGGAATCACTTTTGCTTTCCATCTTATATGGCATTTTATGGGGTACAGCAGATGGCTAATGCTACTTGGAAAAACTGGAAAGGCCCTTAGACAGCAAATAGGTCCTGTGTTTTAACAACCTTCCTTTCTTTTTCCTCCATCTCCTTCTTTCTTTTTTTTAAGCAACAAGGCCCTTGTGTGAATGCAGTCTTGCGTGGAAGCACAGTAGATGAAACAGAGCAAGAAAGAGTTTCCTGTGGCAGAAGTGGGGCTACATCTATCGCCTGTTCCCTTTTCTTCTTGCCTTGTTTTTACCACTGTCACGTCTTCCACAGATCTTAGGGTTCCTGAGTCCAGTCTGAGACCCACTGTCCTTATTTACCTCATTCCTTTTGTATCTGAGAAAACCAAGATCTAGAGCAGCTCAGTAATCCATCCAATATCAAAAGACTAATACGTGATAGAGGTAAACCAGAAATCAGGCTTCCTATTGTTTTGCTCGAAGATTTGGGTCTGGCCACAGAGTCTTTATGGCTCTATACCATGATGTAGGTAGCTCTTAATGGTTAAACATACACACTCCCTAGAGAGATGATCTATAACTGGAAATGATCTATGTCCACACATAGAGATGAAAATGATTTCTAAATTTTGGAGCATTTATTATACCAGGCTGCGTGGGTACACAGAATTAGAGCAACATAGGCCCCTTGGCCTGGAAGCTCCCAATAACATTAGAGAGACAGACAGAAGCCCTGTGGCTTCCCTGCCAACCAGAAGGTGGAGAGGATTTTAGTGGAGGTGCCCATGACAGTGAGCGCCTGTAAGGATTATAAGGGTGGGAGAGTGTTCTGGACTGACAGGTGCTAAGGTTTTGAGATGAGAGGACTCAGAAGAAGACAGGAGAGGGGTAAAGGTTGACAGAGCAGGGCATGCTTTGGTGAAGACACTGGTGGATTCTTGTAATAGTTGATACAATGTGGCAACTTGGGAAGTTTCGAAGTTTAACTAACTGATTCAGGAGGGGGCCAGTGAACATCCTGAGACTGTGCAAGAGAGCGGCATGGAAGTGGTGTGCATACCACATTCCAGACTGAAACCTCCACAAACTGTGAGATAAATAAACCTTTCCACCTTAATTTTAGGAGTCAGGTATTTTGTCTCAGCTACAAGAGAAAAGTAATACAGTTCTAAATAGTTCCTTCCTTATTTTCTTTCCTGACAGAATCTGTCTTCCCCTCTCCACCCCTGCCCCAGTCTGGAGCTTTCTGAAGGCTTTAACTCTTGCTTTTCAGTAACTGTCCTGAAGATGAGAGAGGGGCCATAGGAGAGAACAGGAAACCGGAAATGATTTCTCTCTCTCTCTCTCTCTCTCTCTCTCTCTCTCTCTCTCTCTGTGTGTGTGTGTGTGTGTGTGTGTGTGTGTGTGTGTGTATGTGTAAGAAAAACAAAATCACTGACTTCAAACATCTTCACATACCTCATCTATCTTACAGGACAGGCATAGTTCAGCACTGATGGGTTGTTTTGTTTTGCTTTAACACAGATTCGTATTTATTATTCTTAGTCTAAAAAAAGGCCTTGAAAAGGCTCTCAGGTCCCTAGTCTGGTAGGGGAAGAGAGAAGGCTCCATTGCTCTACCTGGGCTTGGCTGGGGTAGGCTGAGAGTGGAGTTGGGGCAAGAACTCTGATGTGGAAGATGAGGACACAAGCCTGAGCAGAACAGGAAGCTGTACTCTGCAGACACCAACAGGGCCTCCACATTTCTGGGAACACAACTGTCCTGTGCACTCCTGCATTTCAGTGAAAGGTGGCTTCTAGAGCTGTGTGTCAGTGGGTACTTTGGAGCAAAAAAGGAAGCAGGAGAAATGGAAGCAGGGCAGACGTGTGTCCTCAGAAGAGAGGCAGCCAGCCTGTAGGGGCCCATACCAAGGCAATGTCCGGGAGGGCTTGGGCTGCTTGGGTGGATATTATAATAATGGATGTAGCTAACAGGCTAGACGATGAGGCCACACTGGAGTATTCTCTGTGTACCTGGTGTGTGTATCGATGTGTGAGGACATGTGAATCCCTGTGTATGGTATATGTTGAATGCATGTGCCAGTGTAACTCTGTGTGTGTGTGTGTGTGTGTGTGTGTGTGTGTGTGTGTGTGTACATGGGAAAGTGTAAGGGTGCCTGAGTGTTTGGCACTTGTGTGGCTATATACATGGAACCTGTGAGTTAACTGTGCAGAAAGAAGCTTAGGGGAGGGGATGACTGTGTATCAGTGTCTGTGTCACTGTGTGTGTGAGAGGGCACAGGGCTATCTGAGAGTGACACTGTGTACCTGACTTGAGTGTCCTGACTTGAGCCAGCCTGTCCCCTCCAGCGAGGGTCTTCCTCCCCATGGGGCCTGGCCTGAGTGCTGAGGCTCGGGGCCGGGAAGCAGGCAGCTGTGCGGCCGTCCCCACCCTGGAGCCTGTGTGTGCCCAGGAATGTCCCTACTCTCCTGTTCCTGGAAGGAACAACGCGCCCAGTGGCTCCTCTCCTGCCTGACTTGTCCAACTCCCAGCCATCCTGGGCAGTAAGGCCCTGCCTGATGGGATGGAAGCATCCAGGCATCCCAAGCTACGCAGAGTCAGAAGCAGAAACAGGGTTCTGAGGGGTGCCACATAAGAGGGGCTCCCTCGAGTAGCTCAGGGAGTTCACCAGGTGACAGCTCCATGCAGGGCATTTCACACTACCTCTCTTATTTCCATTTTGGCTTTCTTGTGGCGGTGGGTGATAGGTGTCACCATTGCCCTTTTGTGGTAGACAGGGAAGCAGACTTGGGTTGAGGAACTGACCCAAGATAGCCCAGTGGGATTAAGACTGTACCCAAGTGTCTGACTCGGGAGTGCCACCTTCCTAGTGCAGTGGCTTCACCCTCTTTCCCTTGAGGACTCTAACTCAAAGGAAGTTAAAGAAGACATTTACAAAGCTGACACCACTGCAACTGGGGCACCCCAATGAGGGTACAACCCCAACTCAGGCATCTGAAATAAGTAGCTGTTTTCCTAGAAATTCATGGCATTGCCTTTCTGGTGACAACAGGAAGCCATGCTACCCATGACCTCTATAGAGAACGAGAGGACCGAGAGAAGTTATTAGGCAGCTGCAGACAGTAGAAATAACTCGGGTCCTCCCATAAGCCAGCAGTGTAAAGTCACCCAGCAGATCGACAGATGAACAGACTGGGACACAGAAGTCAAATAACTTGTCCCTGATTCAATGTCATACCGAGTCTGCGGTGATCAAAATGTATGGTGAATGTTTCAATGTTTAATAAAACCATCCTCGTAGAGGAGTTGCCACGGATCCCCTCAGAATACTCTCCCAAAGCTTTCAATACATTTATGTCATCATTCTTGCTACTTTCAGAAGCAGCTTAGGAAGTAATCTTTTGAGTAGCTTTTCAAAAACATGGTGAATGCCACTGTCACATGCCACCCAAAGGCAATGCAAGCTTGTGAAAACCTTACCATTTGCTGTGTGCTACCTTATTCACTGGATCTGGCACCATGCAACTTCTAAGTTTTCTCCAGAGGTCAAAATGAAAGGTAAGTATTTTGAATTGATACAGGACATCAAGGCAGCCAAGACAATGCAACTAGACATTCATGAAAGATGACTTCTAGAACAGCTTCTGGAGGTGGCAAGAACAATGGGGTAAGAACGTTTGAAGTGAGGGTGAGTATTTTGAGTGAGAATATGGGCAATGTGTCTTTTACTGTAATATTTTTTTTAGATATAATACATACTTTCTAAGAAAAAAATAGTAATAAATCACTAGCTGATGTTTACATATTGTCCTCCTACAAATAATTTTTCAAGATACAAAAGTGGAACATATAGATGGGAATTCAAACAGCGAGATTACAAATAGTTCTATTCAACCATTCAACAAAAACTTATTAATATGGTTATTTATCTTATACACTTAAACATATATGCAGTGATCCATATCTTCATTTATATTGAGATTAAACAAATCAAAGCAGACTAAAATCACTCTGAACAAAGAGTAATAGTATTGCTGGATTTCACATCATGACACTCTGGGATCAGCACTGGGTACTGTAGTGTCTTTCTTCCTTCAAAGTACTTGTTCATTTCATCATGTGTCATAAGATCAATTCTCATAAACTGTTCATAGGCTCTACACATGCATGAGTCTTAACATGTATTTCTATCCTTTCTATATTAGAGGGGGAAACAAAACAAAGTAGGACAGAACAGAGCATATTCCTATAAATACATAAAACAAAAAAGACATATAAAACCACTGTACAAGGAGTTCTACCATGGTTACTGTGTTATCTCTTGTTATCTTCAATAGAATTGGCTATATCATCAGATATAGTATGATCGAATATATCAGTATATAACAGTATTGCTAGAACCACAACTTTGTAGATAGTATTAACAGGTAGTAATCAAACCAGAATGGGTATCATAGTGAATCTTGTCATTTTCAGTAAGTTGTTTATACTCTCAGACTTGATACTATCAATGATGACAGTTTTGAATAAAATCTGTTGATAACAAACAGCAATCAAACAAATTAGATTTAACTAAGATCAGTCATGATATAACAGTATAAGTTATACAGGGTTCCAGATTAAGTTAATAGGAAATTAAAGATGATTACTGTGCTGTATCCTGACATTTTTGGGATGGCTCTCTGTGTCCTCAGATCTAGTGTTTATAGACAAACTGGGACAGAATAAGTTCTATCTAAGCAGAATGGTGTGAGTAATATAGGTTTTGATTCCTGATACACTATTAACAATATCTTCTGCTGTCTTTTTCAAGACTATTCCTCCCCTTTCACTTCCCCAGGGAATACTGTGCATTTTTGGGTCTCACCAACACCCTCAGTTTTAAATGGGGGGAGCAACCTGCTATTTACCTAAGTGGTTCCGAACCTTCTCCCTCCTGGACTTGATCTCTAGTTGTATTCCCTTACCTATTAAAGCCTGTTCTTCCCACCTATCCTCAATTACTAGTCTAGTTGCCCCTATTACTCTCTGGTTCCCTGTCACATAGAGCATTGTTTTCTCATATTTGAATTTCAGTCCATATACCCTTTTTCAGGTTAATTATATTTCCTATAAAGACCATCTCAGTGGACCCTACCTCTTGATCTACTCTGCCTGTGATTCTTTTTTCTTAATTTAGTGTATCAAGGCCATCTGTATTAGACATTATGACCAACCTTCTCTGCCTCATTTCTGTTGTGCTCTTTTTTTTCCATTAGTTGTTTGCTTGTATTCTTCATTTTACTTTCTGCTCTGTTCATTGAGGTCTCTCTGCCACTGTTCCTGGAATCCTGGTACTTTTTTCTCTTCTAGAATGTCTTGCAGTATTCTCTGTAGAGTTGGATTGGTAGTTGTGAATTCCCCCAGTTCCTCTTTGTCTTGGAAGCATCTTGTTTCTCCATTAATTTCTAGAGATAGTTTTGCAGGGTATATCAATCTGGGTGGAAGGCTATTTTCTTTCAGGGCTTGGAATACTTCACTCCAGGCTCGTCTTGATTTGATGGTTTGTGTTGAGAAGTCTGCCATAATTCTGATGGGTTTTCCCTTGTAAGTAATCTGTTTCTTGTCTCTGGAAGCTTTTAATATTCTGTTTTTATATTGGATTTCTGGGATATTGATTATTTTATGCCTGGGTGTAGTTCTGTTTTGGTTGTAGATGGCTGGAGTTCTGTATGCCTCCTGCATGTGAATATCATTTCCTTTTCCTATGTTTGGGGAGTTTTCCTCAATTATTTCTGTGAATAACCTTTGTAGTTCCTTTGTTTGTACCCCTGCTTCTTCATTCACATTCTTTATTCTTAAGTTGTAGATCCTCTTGTCATCTTCTAGCCTTTGTATTGTTACTTCTTGTTATTTTTAAGAAATTTTTCCTTTCATGATCCCACTTTGCAAACTTGTCCTCCTGTTTGAATAATCCATCCTTAGTTTCTTTCAAGCAGTTTTGCCAGCTTTCAATGGAGTTTTTAATTTCCTGATAATCTCTTTGAACCTGCTTCATGTACTCTATGTTTTCTTTATATTCTTCATCAAACAATTCTCCCCTTTTGTTGTGTTCCTCCATTCTTCCATCTGTGTCTTCTTGAGAGGTACTTAGCATTTCTTTTATTAATTTATTTATATCTTGCTTTTCTTGGTTAAGTATTTCACTTTTGAACTCATCTATTAAGACCCAAATATATCTCTTTATGTCCACTGGTGCCATGCTTGATATTTTATATTTGCTGTCCTCAATCTCCTTTGTATTTACCTTTCCTGGAACAATGTTCTCAGCGTTGGGGGCTGCAAACTTTTTATTGCTGCTTCCTCTTCTCATATTTTTTGTTTCTTCCATATAGGTGTGTATAGGAGGCCCCAGTTTCCTTCTTTGTTGGTTATGATTCTTCTTCTGAAGAGCGCTGGTTAGATGGTCCTGCCCATTGCAGGGTGCTATTGAGGTGCAAACAGGGGCAGCATATGCTGGCCCCTCCCCTCTGGGTCAGTAAACCTGCTGAGGCCTTCACTGCTTAGTGTACACCACTGGGCATAGGGAATTGGTTTCGAATAATATGTTGGGTCTCAGCCAGGGGTGTGATCCAAGCCAAGCACATCCCACCAATCCCGTTTGAGAAAGGAGCAACTTACTGAAGTCACTGCTGCTCCTTGTTCTTGCCAGTCCTGCCCGGTCCCAGAATGTCTTCTGTTGGAGCCCCTTTTTCTGTGGAATGGGTTTATTCCCAGCACTCACCGGAAATAAAATGCAGGTTCCCCGCCACTCAGCTCTCCGTTTGGCTCACCAACCTCCAAGCTCAGTGTGACTGTGTTTCCAGTGGTTTGAAGCGGAGGGATTTCAGGGGTTTCTATAAGTCACTGCCATGCCAGTACCAGTATGGGCGCTGCAGCGGGGGCACCGAGCCTTTAGCTGTTCCCAATAGTGGCACCGGGACTCTATGTTTGATTTTCCCATCTTAGTTTCTTTCTGGATTGAGAATATTCATCTCCCTCTGTTCGGGACTCCCCATGCTGTGTTATTTTGAAATCTAAGTTGACCATCTCAGGGACCCACTGTAGCCTGCTGTTATCTATCTGCATCTTTACTGGAACCTCACTGTAACAAATTTTTAAAAATTTAGACATTCACCATAGTTTTCTATTACGCTTCATATGTTTGGTACTCAGAAAATCCAGAAACCAGCCTTTGGTCTGCCTGAGGCCAAAGTCCTGGCCTCTTTCTTCATCTCTATAACCTTGCAGTCTCAATTCAGCTTAGAAACTTAGCTTTCCGAAGACTGAAAAGAACCAAGAAAAGGAAAACAAGAATAAGGAGCCTGGCTCCCTCGGCCGGGGGTTGGCCGGGAGCCCTCTGGACATGGGTGCCAGAGAAGCCATCCTGAACTGTACTGCTCATGCGGGAGTCTCCTGCGCTTGCAGCCAGGGCATGTGGGGACAGGCTCATCACCAGGGCACTGGGAACAGCCAGGGGTCCAGCTCACCGCCTGGGTGCTCCGCAGGGAGTCTCCGGCTGCCTGCCTGCCCCCTTTCCAGACTAAACATTCCCTCTCGGCTTTCCCTATTCCAGCAGGGCAAAGTGTCCTGGGAGAGCCTCAACGACAGAAGTGAAGGATCGTTTACGCATGTCTCTGAACACCCTTGGGAGAGAGGCAGATTGCACTCGGCTTGCATAGGCTCATGGAGGAGCAGGCCTTGGGCATTTGTGGGCAAGGAAAACCAGCCCATTGAGGCACAGATAGCACCGGCATAAACATGCATGTCCACAGCGGAAGCGGCCACCCGTTAACATGGAGGGAGAGAGGGGAACACCCTGAAATACAGCACGAAAGCACTCTAGCCCCACAGGCCCTGGGCTACTGGACCCTGACCAGGACACGTGCTTAAATGGGGACACACGCAGTCTGCTGGGTTGTATGGATTTTGGAACAACTGAAAAAAACAAAACCAAATCTGCCAATGTTTCCACTGTGGGCTTCTTGTAAAACTCCTGCAGACTAGTGGAATGGCCCAGGGCTGTGGGGCTGTGTGTGGGTTGTCAGATAAAGTGGGGCCATAAAAACAAACAGCTCAGAGGTGGTATGGGGAGCCAGCACCTCAATTCCAGGCATAGAGAACAGTGCAGGACCCCAACAGTTTGGTAAGAGGCAGCTGTGGATGGGCTTATGGCTTCAGTGTCCTGAAAAACCCAACTACACCATCTTCTATGGTTGCTTTGCCCTAGTTCTATACAAAGCAGCACAGCACACGTGGGTGCCTAGTAGACAGAGGCTGTCCTGGTGGGGCCCACAGCACTACAGGTCAACAGGCAGTATGTGTCATTCTGGTCCCACCTTCAGTGTCGCCCTTTCAGAGCTCAGAAATATTTTCCAGAATATAGTACATGTGCATATGGAAAGATGAGGTGCAATCCAAATATATGGCAAATGCTTAGAAACTTACCACAGGAATTACCATGAATCCCCCTCAAATTATACCTGCTTCCTTGGAACACACTTTTCCTATTGTTACTGCCAATTTCTGCAGCCGTTCTGGAAGTCCTCTTCCACGAGGGTCTTAACACGGTTTGATCAAAAATATGGTGAGTGCTTCTGCCAAGTGCTACCCAGTGGAAAGGCAGGCTTGTGAAAATGTTACAGTACAAAAACATTCACCAGATCTGGTACTTCCCTGAAGTCAAAAGGACCCCAAAAAGTAAATATTTTGAACTGATTCAGGATATTGAGGCAGCCAAGACACTGCAACTAGATATTCATGAAAGAGGACTTTCAGAACTGCTTCAGAAAGTGGCAAGAAAGATCAGTGTACTTGAGGTGAGGGGAACTTTCTGAGGGAGGTAACGGTACATTACATCTAGTATAAAAATAAACCTTTAAAAATGTCAACATTCTCCATAGTTTTTTTCTGTCGAATCTTGCAGAAGAAATGCACCTATTAAATACAGCAATCCCAAAACCAGCAGCAAACACCGACTGAACACAGACTCAATGCTAGCCACTGTTATTACTTTGTGTACAATATCTTGTTAGATTTTTCCCAAAACCACAAAGGTGGTTCTATCACATTGTACCAGTTGTACAGATGAGGAAATAGAGGCACAGAGGACTTAGGCAAGCTTCCCCAAGTTAACCATTAGTACACTGTGAAGTTTGAATATTAATGGGAATCATTTAAGTCCCAAAAAACTAATTATTTCATAGATAAAATCTATAAACTCCCAACACTTGCTGCATATACATTTTGTGTTTCACTGTTTTGATGAGAAGCAGAGGGGGCACACGTGAGCCCAGTTCTTTGGCAGTGGGCACAAAGGCCTACTCTGAGTCTTTTTTCAACTCAGGCATGCAGCCAACTGCTGACTCTGACTCAGTTTCTCTGAGTCATCTGAGCCTGCAAGAATGGTCTTAGAGGCGATGCTACAAAAGCCTCCAAGAAGCTGGCTACACTGAGTGTTAAAAGTGAAAGTGTTGGGCGGGGGATATAGCTCAGCAGCACAGTGCCTGCCTGGCAAGCGTGAGGCCCTGCGTTTGATTCTTGGTACCCTTCCCCCCAGCAAAAGAAAGTTTATGGTGGTCAGAGAGGTCTACAAGGAAAAGGTCCAGGAAAGAGAGAGTGCATACAGACAGGGGAAATCCTGGCTGTAATCATACTGCTCTGGAGGGCTTGGCCATCCATTGTATAGACACTTCTGGGGAAATTCCCAAAAGAGACTCCAAGGAGGGTAGGAGGCCACAGCTACAGAGTCGACACCTGGCTCGGCAAAACAAGGCTGCCTGGGCTGCGTCCAGATGTGCACCCACCACACCGCTGGGGTGTGTGGAAAAGAAAGTAGTTGGCCAAGAGGGGACCCCAGCGTCCTGCCTAGGGTGATAATGATGCAATTTGGCAACCATGGTCCCACTCTGGGACAGGACGGTGATGGTGCGGGAGGCCATTGCACTTTATGCTCCAGAATACTGTGAACCTAAAACTGTAGCTCTAAAACAAGAAGCTGATTTAAAGAGAGAGAGACAGAGACAGAGACAGAGTCAGAAAGAAAGAGAAAGTGGAGACAAAAAAAGCATAACCCGCTGCTAGGTCTAGGGGTCCCACCTGTGTTGAGAGCAGCCATAGGGCTCCTGTTGATGCCATGAGATGAGACCTAGGTTAGAAGAGTTGCAGGGACCCCTTCAGGTGGCAGGGAAGGGTAGTGGAGGTGGTCGGGTTCAGATTTCAAGCCCAGCTCAGGCCTCTCTCCATATCATCAAAACATCCCTTCAACAGGCCTGCCACTGCCGGACTCCTTGCAGCTGGCTCTCTACCACCTAGCAAAGGACAGGCCAAAGGCAGCTCCTCCCAGGAGACTCATCCATATCCAAAGCCTGTCTGTTGCAGAGGTGCAGCAGGGAGGAAGGAAGACATTCAGGTAAGTAATAGAAGGCAAGGTAAAACCATGATCTCCCTTCCCAGTGCACAGACACCCAGAGGATCCAAGCAATTGTGGAACTTTTACAGGGGGCCCCTCCAGCTCAGGAAGGGGTGAGCCTGAGCCCACAGGGAGATGAGGAGATGCTATGTGACTGGGTTCTGACCACTACCTCCCCTCCTGCCTTCCTGCTCCCCTCTCCCCATCCCTCCAAGCATTTGCTGCAATGCTAACAGCAGTGCCCTATTTCACTGTTATTAAACGGAGTGACCTCCAGCTTTCTCCCCTAAGACTGCCTGTTCAGGTTATATCTGCATTTAAAGCAGTAAGAAATTCCTGAGACTTCAGGGAATTTGTTTTACAGACCTCCCAGAGCCACAGTTGTAGCCTGATCTGTTCAGCCTTAGACATAATCAGATCCCCTGCTCCTTTACTCTGACTTTCTCTTTCACATCTAGGTTATTGTTTTGTATTAACTCCCATAGCTTGAGCCTCCTTACATCCTTTTTGGAAAAAAGTTGAATTATAAAGGAAAAAAATGATTAAATGTGACTAAAACAGGAGGAGATTTATTTTAGGAATAGAGCCAAGTCTCCAAAATGATGTTCAAGACTCCCTGTAGGTCACCCCCTCCCACATCCCTGGGAGCACAGCTGATGATCAGGGAAGGGTGCCTCTTTCTGCCCAGGGAATGGCACCCCTTTGGGAAGCATCTCTCAGGCCTGGCTTGGGGCATCTGCTGGGGAAATCTTGGCCTCTGTGCTGTCACAGTAAGTACAGATTCCATCGTCCAGGCCTGCAGCCCCCTTAGGAGGATGAGGCGGCCAGTGAGTGTTTGCTATTCTCCTGAGTAAGTCTGTATCTATAACTCTGTACTGGAGCCCGTGTGGGCAGAACCTTAAAACAGGGAGATTGTCGTGGACCGTGCAGGTGGCCCAGGGTAACACACAGGCTGAGTTATGGTCTGGATCTAGGAGAGCTAGGATGTGTGCCCAGAGGTGGGGCTTTCGGAAGGTGATGGGTCACAGGAGCACTACACTTCCTGGTGGACTCATCCACTCACGCATGGTTAGGAGGTGGTCACCCAGGGTGTGACCTGGAAAGGTATATTCTTGCTGTGGTCTTGCCTTTGCTCTCTGCTCCCTGGCTAACTCGGAATGAGCAGCCCTTCCTTCCTTCATGCCCTTTCTGCCAGCCAATTACAGACTGAAAACTCTAAAAACTGTGAACCAAAATAAATCTCCCTTTTTTTACATTGAGGGTCTTGGGTATTCTGTCCTAGTGACAGAAAAGTGACTAAGACAGGCTTTTAAAGATGGAAGAGGGAGGGAAGGAGGGAGATAGAAGGAGAGAGAGAACAGCAATGAAACAGAGGTCCCAACATGCAACTGACATGGATCTCTGGCTAGGGAACATGGAAACCCTCCAGAAGCTGGGGAAGGGGGAGGAACAGATTCTGGCAAAGAACGCAGCCTGCTGACACCTTGACCTTAGACCCTGAGCTCCAGAAGATAATGCACTTGCATTGTTCAGAGCCTCAGAGTTGGTGATTTGCTACTGTCTCAGTGGAAACCAGCACAACCTGCTCTGGGGGAAAGGGAGGCAAATCCTGCTCCTGAGAGAAGAGTGCACATCTGCTAGTGTTGGTGCCACTGTTTCCCCGTGTGAGTGACAGTGCATGCATGTGAGTGTGTGAGATGGGACAGACCTGAATGGCATATGGGTATCTTTGGTTCCCCAGGTTGCAGCTGACACAGGACAAGTTGCCTCAAACTGAAGGGATACCATTGTTTCCATGGAACCTTTATGAAGAGGTGAGTTCACTTGCAGGGTGGCCTTGGCAGACCTGGGTATCAAGGGCACCATTGTGTTGACGCATAATGAGCACTGCAAGCCAGTTGGCTCCACTCTACTGGGATTTTCTTTTCACCATGACATCTGCTGGGCTTCAGCTGGCATCCTGGACACCGTGCAAGAGAAGGCATGGTGGTGGCTGAGAGGGGGGAGCCCAGGCCTAAGGAAAGGAGCTCTGCCTGGCACCTGCTATTGACAAACACACATGCATGGCTTATAGCTATAACATGGCCCTGCCCAGAAGAACCTGTATCTGTTATTTGCTAAGTGGAGCTTTGAAGAGTCCCAGACAGCCCATTTGCTGTGCAGGAATACAGCAGGACATGGTGGTGCAGAGCTGAATATGAAGTTGGCTCCTGCTGGCCAAGTGCCTGGGCTTGATCTGTTAGTCCTTGTCTGTAAAATGGGAAAATAGGGCAGCTCTGGATAATGCGTTTATGTGTACTGCACAGTCCCTAAACCAAGGGAAGCACTCTGCCCACGCAATTGGAATCGCATTTATCCTTTTGGTCTAGCAGAAGAGTGAAGAATAATAAAGAAGTGAGTCTAGGGTTCTGTGGCCAGTTATCTTGTTGGAAGGATCTGCTGAGAGGGTTCCAAGGGCTGGAAATATTTCCCCTCGGTCCTCTTTCCACATGCAGCTCTTTTTCTAAGCTGTTATTAGAATGTTGTAACCTAAGTTCTTGTTTTGACTTCTGCTCAATGGACCTGTACAGTTCTCCTTTTTCTTTACACTTTGTTCTCAATCCAGGCATCCTCAGAAGCTCCAAGGCCAAGGAAAACTGTGAAGTTAGGAGTGGAGGAGTCCTGCTGGAAGTCCCTGCTTGGATCTCTCTCTGGAGGAAGGAAGGCAGCCAGTAAATTGGAGAAGAAGCTGTGGCATAGGCTTAGAGAGGACTGTCATCTTCCACTGCAACCTTAGGTGACAGTTGTCCTCACTTGCTCTGCTTTAGAAAGGCATTGCCTCTTCTGCTCACAGGTGGGGCTGCCAGCAAGAGCTCAGGATGGCAAAGAGAACAAAGCTCATCCCTAGCCTGGAAGAGTAGGGACAGGGGAGCTAAAGACAAGTCCTCCTGAGTGCCTCTGTTCTGGACAGAGAGGAGTCCAAGTTGCCAGGGAGGATAAGGGGGAAATCTGGGAGAGAGGATGGGGAGAGGGCAGTCACCCTCTAGGGTCCCTCTGAGCAGAAGCTGAGGGCTTAGCCAGCATCAATAGTGAGAGCCATTTCCATGTGCCCTTGCCAAGCCCTCAAGGAAAGAACAGAGAGGGTCCTTACCCAGTGTGGGTAGAGGAGGCGGAAGGTTGAGCAGCGTTGGGCATGCATTTGTCTTCCCTGGCCTGGGGGTGAAGCATGCACACTGGCTAGATCAGTGCATCTCACACCTTACGGCTTGTGTTGTGTATCAGCTGGAGATTTTATTAAAATTCACATTCCATGCCAGCGGGCCTAGAGTGCAGCTAGGGTTCTGCATGACTATCAAGGGTTAGGGTTAGGGTTAGGGTTGTGCTGTTGCCAGCCTCCAGAACTGCATTTAGCCTGATAATGCACAAACATAAGGATAATGCAAAAATGAGGCTATAGTCTTGCAGGAAGCTTTGCTTTCAATTTCCATAATTTTCTCTATGTCATATCTCTCAGCAGAGCTTAATTCCTCATGACCTTGGCATGCCCTTTCTGTACTTCTGGAGAGTACAGTGATGCCAAGTGAAGCTTGGAGATTTGGAAGACACTAACATTAAGTGCCCGCTTGAGTGACCCTAGGATCTGGGCGTGAACCAAGCTCAAAATAACCACTTGTAGGGGCAGCTCAGGAGAAAGCAGTTTCTTACTCACTTTGCTAAAACTGGTACATCTGCAACTTAAAAGAGGAGAGAATTATTTTGGCTCACATGGTAGAAATTTCAGCCCTTGCATGGTCAGACTCCTCCCGGCAGAAGTGACTTTGTAGAACATTCTGGAGGAAAAAAGCTGCTCACCTCATGGGATCCAGGAAGCAGAGTGAGAGGAGGAGCCAGAAAGGGAGATAAGCACTTCCAGGTCACTCCTCCAGCAACCTGTGTCTACCAACCAGACCCCACCTTCTAACAGCAAGCACCTATAATCCAACTACCTTCCAAAAGCCCCACCCATGATCCCAGGATGCTCTGGGGGACATGTAGACATGAACCACAACAGGCAGTTATGGGAAAGAAGAGTGGAAAAGAGATGTGTCATTATGGTTGGATCAGAGAGGCGCACGTGACACTGCATTGGGGCTTCCGCTCTATATCAACCCCAATCCCTAAGGCAGGCTGACCTTTGTGTTTCTTGGTCTCTAAGTGAGTGGCACTGGCTAACATTCCTGATCTGAGAGTCTAAGATACAAAATGCTCCAAAATTCAAACATTCTGAGCACTAGCATGATTCTTAAAAAGCTTTAGACTTTGGCGCTAAGATTTAGGCTTTGGAAGCAAACTAACCTTAAGGACCTCAAAAAGACTTTGTAGCACTTCTGATTTTTGATTTTTGTATTTGTAGAGATGCTCAACAAGTAAAATCTAAAAAAAATTTCAAAATCCAAAAGAACTCCAAACTCAGAAACACTTCTGGTCCCATGCATTTCCAATAATGAATACTCAATTTGTATAATATTTGAGCATCGAGATTAGGGAATGAATAAAACAGAAACTGAGAAAGCATCCAGCAAATTACCTGCCCCAGAATAATATCCAATATCCAATATATTCTGAAATTAAAAAAAGATGAGAACAATCTATAAACTCAGCCTGCACAGGGTCTTGTCAGCTAGACAGAGGAGCTTGGAAGTAAGTCACAAACGATCCCTGACTTTGCAATAAAGCAAGCTCCCCTTAGGGATCTCTGCTTAACTGCCTTGGAGTAATTCTGAGTTCTCAAATGGAACTCAAACAGATAAAATTATAGCACTTAGAATCAGCCCTGAAAGCAGACATCTCACTAAATCTGATAAATCTGAATTTCCCGGAACAGCCTGCCAGCTCTCCATCTTTACTGGACTCCAAGATGAGCAGCAGGTTACAGCAGGCTGCACATGAATAGAGTAGCTAGAATGCTGGGGAAACCACACAAGTTGTGCCTACATTCTCTCTGGGCCCGGAATCCCATAACCTTTCAAATCCCAAACCCTGAGGATGCAAAGGGGAAGAATGACCCATTTTCAGGTCCTTGGGAAAGCCCTTAGAAAAAGCAGCCTCCAGACTGAAGACTCTCTAGGCAAGGAGTAAAGGAGTCCAGCACAAGTCCTTGGCCTAGGCGAGGAAAGGTTTCCACCCCTTACTCTCCCATCCTCGGGCAGGTGGGTCTTCTCTGGGCTATGCAAAGCCTAGATTGCTGTGAGTTATTCTTATTTTAAAATAACATTTAGAAATTGTTTGGGGGCTAGAAACAAGCATTTCCACCACGTTGTCCTTTTTCGGCAATAGGTATATTTTTAAGTAGTGAGAACCAAGGCACTCATTTCCCAGCAGACATGAGGCACAGGTGGTAAATGCACTCAGGATCAGGAGGAGGGGTCCCCTTCACCCTTTCTTGGGAGGACATTAGATGGTGCTGGGCCTGTGATAAGTGCTTTCCAAAAAGCCAAAAGAATCTAATGAGTTGAGTCTAGGGGGCAGCCAGGGAGAGGCAGAGCAGGAGAATCTGTGGGTCGTTTTTCCTGGGTGGAGATCTTCTTCTCCACACCTCCCCACTGCTCCCCAACAGCAGGCAGCAGTTTTGTGCTGTGCTAGAGACAGGAGCCCCACACAGGTTGCCATGGCTCTATCCCCGCTCAGTAACTCACTAACTGAGGGGCCTTGTTGACACCTCGGTCTCTTCCTCGGTAATATAAGGGACTGTAAGGCCCATCTCCTCAGGCTACTGTGACTTTCAAAAGGTGTGACACCTGTGAGGTGTTTGGGGCATTTCCTGGCACAAAGCAAGGCTCCTCAGTGTAATGTGCTTCAAATGCCATAGCTAGCCTGTCCCTAGATTCCTGGGCCACAGCCTTCCCCAGGTACCCACCTCCATAAATGACAACTCCAGCCTTCAGTTACCCAAACCCCAGATCTCAGAGGCATTTTTGATATATCTTTTTCATGCTCCACATGCAATCCATTAACAAATCCCATTAACTCTGCTTTTAAAGTATACTCAGAAACCGGCCACAGTGATCATTCCACGTGACCACCCCAGGCCAAGCCAGGGTCATTTCTGCCCAGAGTATGACTGTGGCCTCCTGCCATTCTGCTTTGTGCACACAACCTCAAGACTAATCCTTCAAAACATTTAAACCAGATAAAATATCATTGCCTGCTTAACCCCCAAAGGCCCTCTGTCTCCCTTAAGAGTAAAGCCGAAGGTTACTGGGGCTCAGAAGTCCTGTGGAGTGCGGCCCTGCGACCTCTGTCCTGCTGCTGATCACATCTCTTCCCCGGTTCACTCTCTCCAGCCACATGCTGAGGACAGTGTCTGGATTTATGAATGGATAAATAGACAAATGAAGGGACACACGCCTTCCTCTGCGAGGACCTCTCTTCAGGCTAGGGAGCCCAGACCAGAGCAACAGAGAAGGAGTAAGAGTCGGGCAGCTCTGAGACCAGAGGGGCGCTCGGAGGGCTTTGGGGGGCCAGGAAAGGAGGAAGGCGGATGTGAGGGACAGGGCAGATGGATGAGGCAGGGCTGTGTGGAGGGTCAGCCCGGGGAAGATGCAGCCCTGGGGACTGTGACAGACACTGGGGCTGACCGCAGTGCAAGGACAGCTCTGGAGGGAGGCATCAAAGGGACAGTCAGGGCAGTTAATAACTCCATCATTTAGCTCACATCCCATCGGGCACTGTGCCCAAGGCCAGTTATGCTGAAAGCAGATAGCACAACTAAAAAGCCAGACTGAAGCCCCTGAGTGGATAAGACTGTGATGGGGGCCAGGAAACAGGCAGCACAGAACCAAGCCTTTGTGGAGCGCTGCGGAGCAAGTGCTGTCCTGCACAGTAATGATAACGCGCAGCGTGGTGTGGTACCGCAGACAGCCCGAGGCTCAGGGCTGCCTCCATGGAGACAGGCACCCTTTGGCTCCCGATAACCTCCCTGAGCTTTAGTTTCTTGGTCTGCAGGGTGGTAATGGCCAGTGCGCCCTAAACACCTTGTCAATGTCAGCTTCCATTGTACCTGTGTGTGTGTTCACTTGTTGGACCTTCCAAAGCGACCCTGTGAAACAGGACCTATTGAACATGCAGGTGTGCAGATCAGAAAGGCTAAGAAACTGCCTCACACAGCTACCCAGGCAACCTGGTGATTCTGGCTTCAGGGGCCATGTTCCTAGCCATGATGCGACACTGCAGGTGACAATGGCTGCCCTACTGAAAGATTTTGGAAACCGTTGAGGCTGATACACACATGACTGGTTAGAGGTGCTGTATAAATATTGATGATCACTATTTTGTCTAATGCTCACAATGTTAAAGCAATTGGTTGATCTAGGACATGATGTTGACACCCTGGTATCACCCACTGAGCTTGCCTAGAAGGTCACACAAAGACTATGACATTGTCCTTATCCCCGCACACAGTCACTGGTATCCTCTCACGGAGAACATGCTTGTGCATCAAAGCGGGCAAGGCCCATGGGATGGCACACCTACTCCTGTTTCCTTACCCCTCCTCAGTGAGACATTCTAGGATGTATCCCACATGGTCCCTCAAACGGTCCCCCACAGGTTTGAGCCCCAGATGTCCACACAGTGCCCACCACTAACGCACCATCCACTGGCTTCCTGCTTGCTGTCTCAGTCTCTCTTCCCTCCCAGTGATTCCTGGAGTCACCTCCCAAATAAACAGCTTACATAGACATCCCTACCTCTAGGTTTGTGGTAGAGAACCCAAAGAAAGCCAGGGAGGCATTTCACTGCCAGACAGAGGGGAGGAGAGGCCGGACCTGCTGAGACTTGAGATTATCTGGACAGACGCTTCTGGGGAAATAGCTGGAGAGAGGTGGGGCATATATCAGCTGCCTTGGACCAAAGGATAAAGTCCCAGTAACAGGAAAAGAAGACCAGGCCGTCCACGTACTGTTCCCCAAACAGCACGGCCCCAGAGCACACATTTTACTTGACAATTCTAAGCAAGTGGCCAGAATGGCGTCCTGGCAGAAGCCCTGACGCCTCTGGACTGGATCACAGGAGAATCCCTCACCCCTCTTGGACACGAGCGCAGAATAAACACAAATAAGCTCCCTTGTCTAAATAAACGGAGGCTTGGTTTTATGAGGTGGTTTTCTGTTTCTCCCTACCCTCCTGACTTCTCTCCTCTAGGGCCAGGCTTGTTTGCTTGCTTACTTAATCCCAAGCCCTTTACACCTTCAAAAGACCCCTTTGTGTCTGGGATAAAGTGGAGCATTTCTGCCTTGTGGACACAATTTTCCAAATAAGCTTCCAAACACAGAAGAGCCCAGATTATTCACAATAAAACACCATCATTGTTTGGCCCAGTGGAAGAAATGAACAGGAGGTAAGAAGAAAAACTCAAGAAAGGATGCCTTTTCAGCATGTTCCTCCAGCCAAATGGTTTGCAATTTTATTGGAAAGGATTCTTGGGGGGAAACAGACAAAAGAACATAATAGAAAAGAAAAAGAAAGCAAATTACTGACTCATCAGTGTGGCTTCTACCCTTGACAAGTTGGTCATGAAGGCAGGAGGACAGGACACAGAAAGGGATGGAAAGCTGGCCAGCATGATGGCAAAGAGGGCTTTGTCACCTCCAAACCAGGGTGGCCTGGGTCTCAGCCACAGGGCCAGGCTCTGCAGTTTCCCTGCCAGGAGTTTCAGAAATGCTAAGGACAGAGGCATCTGGCTGACATGGCCCAGAGGGCATGCATGGGCAAAAGCTTTCTGAGAACACAGTTAGAACCAGACTCAACACAAGAACTATTCCTTCCCCCCAAACCCCACAAAAATGGCTGTCAAAGATACCATCCATGGCCAGCTAAAGAAAAGGCAAGGGCAATAACCGCATTGTGATGGGTCCTGCTCCCCAAGGGGCCAAGTCCTCTCTATGAGAAGCAGGATAACCTCACGGTCTAAGGCTCAGCTATGAAGAGAATTCTCCTAGGTCTGTCCCTATGGGTTGGGTGGCCTTGAGCCAATTCCTAAACGTTTCTGAGTACCCCAATGTCTGCACCTACAAATCAGAACTCAGAGAGTTGCCTGCCAAGGTTCTATGAGTGAGTGCAGGTAAATCACATAGAAGCGATCCAGGCCCACAGTCAGTACCCGGCTCATGCTAGCTCTGATGACTGCACATGTCCACAGGAGGTTGGATTGAAAGTATGGCTGAGGCTGGGGTTCAGCCTCGGCAGAGGAAGTTGCACCCTCTTTCCCTCTGCCAAGTAGCTCTTGCATGTGGTTGTCTGTTGCTGGCAGAGGGTGGTGGCATCTGTCTCTACCTTGGTCAGTGACTGGAGTCTGGCGTGATCACAGCTTAAAGCCAGCAACCCTGTGATCTGTCTGCATCTCCAGCTCCAAAAGAGGCCTCAGCTTTTCTTGCAGAAGTGTCCTCAGGGGTGTGAATGGCTGTTGTCAGCACTCCCTCCCCACCCCCACTCACCTCAGGCCAACACATGCACCCCAGTAAAACCCACAGCTCTCTGCAAATACCCCTCAGACTCCCCGGGACCCCAGCTCCCTCAGCTAAAAAATGCCAGTGCCTGTAGATTTCTGCAGCTTGGGAATGCAGCAGGAATTAGCACACAGACAAAGGGCCACTATCAGTAATTATTTCTGAAGTAACAAGAAACTAATTGGACTTACTGTTATTAAAGACCTATACTGCAGGCAGTAATTAAACTGCAGCTAATGAGGGTTTCCACACCAAGATCTGCAGCCGCCATACGACTACTCCCCGCATCAGGGCTAAGGGGTCTGCGCTGGAGAGAAGCAGCTTTCTCTAAGAGATGCTGGGCAGCGAAAGCTTCCAGATCGGCGGTCACTCATTTCCAGATGTTGAAGTCATACGGTAGTAAATGGCCGTGGACACCATCAAGTCCGTGGGAAAAGAACCGATGGGACTCCTTTCTAAATGGATTTACTGCTCACCTCTTAGGTGTCAGGTGCCCTGGGAGATGCACTCATACACATGATTTCATTCACACTCCCTAACAGCCTCAGCAAGGAAAGGAACTGATTTGCAGAGGTGGGACGCTAGGCTCAGAATGTGTGAGGTGGACGGTGGCATCAGTGGGCCAGACTGGCTGTGCCCACTTTCTAGCTGCCTGGTAGCTCGTCACTTTACTGAATGACTCTGAGCCTCAGTTTCTGCATCTGTGGCATGGAGCCACTGAGACTTGCCTCCTGGGTATATGGCAAAGACCACAGAGCACATTGTGTGAGCGCTGGGCAGCACCACGAGTGCTGGCTGTGGTTCTCTGTGCTGTGCAGGTGCTGCTCTCTGAGAGGTAGCCCTGAGGGTTGCTGAGCCCCACTATCTGGGCATGAGTGAGTTTTTGCCATAGGGAAAGCCATAGAAATCTCAGCAAACAGTGTCTGTCTGCCCGTGTCCCTTGGGAAGGGGCAAAAAAACCCGGCAGGCTGGCTGCACTTGGAGGCCGCCGCCCTGGTGTCCGGGGCAGTGGGAGGCTGGCCAGGCTCCCAGACAGCCTGTCTCGGCCTGGAGCACAGCGCCGTTGCCTCACCAGCTTGTAATGAGCTGCGTCTCCATCCTGATTAGAGGAACAATCCTCACACAGAAAGACCCGGGGGAGGAAGAGCCAGCATGGGAGGACAGGGCACAGCCTCGCCTCGCAAGGAGGAGCAGGTCATTTGAAAGACACAGCCCAAGATGGTGCCGGTCCGGGGGGGGGAGCAGGCAGGCGGAAGTGCCATGGGAAGACCAGGGTCAGAGTGGGAAGCTCCTGTGAGGCACTGCAGGGTCAGTGTGGGAGCCCAAGGGGCAGATTCTCAGGACGCCGGGGCACCAGGAAGGACAAACAAGGAGCTCGGCCTTCTCCAGGCACCTGCCGGGTACCAACCCCAGTGCTGGCCCATGACACTGTCACCATCATCAGCACTGTCCTACCAAGAGGACGCTGGCGGCCCACCTCTGCCCGCATTGTGGCTTGCGGCCCATGTCTAGGTTATGAAAACAGTTGAGTGGGTGACTAATACCACTGTAAAAAGTAACATAGTTTCCAAAAAGAGGCAATTTCAGGGGGCATAGTCACAGCAAGGAGGAACACTGTTTTATGAAAGTTTCTTAATGTATGAGTATGGTTTTACTTCTTCAAGGCATGTGCACAGGCATTTGAGAGCTGGATTGGGACAGCCAATGTGGCTTGTTGTTTGTTGTTTTTTTGCTGTTGCTGCCTTGTTATTGCTGTTTTATGGAGGGCTATGGTAACAATAATTCTTGAAAGCCACAGGTTAAAAATGCAGGTTTAGTGAGGCGTGATGCCACATACCTACAATCCCAGCACTCAGGAGGCTGAGGCAGGAGCATTGCTTTGAGTTTGAGGCCAGACTGGGCTACATAGTAGGTTCAATGCCACTGTGAGATCCTGTCTCAAAAACCAAACAAAAAAATGTAGATTTGGAGACTAGACTAGTTATGGAAACTTGGTCAAGTGGTGAAAAACACAAAAGAATTCCCAGTGTCTCAATCGTCTCATCTGGAAACTGGGTATAATAGTTGTATCTGTCTCATACTGGGTTGTACAGAGTAAGAGTTAATGATGTAAGATGCTTAAAGCAGCATGATGGTGGATACTTCAATCTCAGGCAGCCCTGCATATAGCCCAGGTTCCTGCCAAGGCCTTACCAAGTCTCCCCTGAGGATGCTCCCTGGACATGGGAAGGTGCCAGCTGAGCTCAGGGCAAGGCAAACCCGTGGAGCAATGACTGCCCCCAGGTGACCCTTCGCCTGCGAAGAGTGGGGAATGGCCTTGGACACTGCCGCCCCTCACCCACTGCTCAGCGTTGGAACTGTGTTCTCTCTGTCTCCTGTTGCCTCCCAGGAAACTCCCCCAAATAAACATCTAGCCCCCATATCCTTGGCTTGGTGTCTCATCTTTTGGGTGAATTTAACTGAGACAAGCAGACTTTGGCACCAAGGAGGAGCTCAGTAAATGTTAATCACTGTTAATTGTGCTCATCTTAAGACGGGCTGTGCAAGCACTGGAGGTGCATCGTCTCAATTAGTCTTGCTCCAAGCCTGTCAGAGAGATGGCTGGGCCCCGCTTCCCAGAAGGGAAACTGAGGCACCTTTGGAAGGCGATGCAGCCGGAATGGAGAGATCACATGAGTTAGGAGAGCTCTCCTTTCCACGGAAACTTTACCATAAAGTTATGCCTGTTAGTGATAGTTGTTATTCTCATTTCACAGATGAGAAGAAGGCAAGTCCAGGAATGTAAAGCACTGGTTTCCCAGCTGTCCCTTACCACACTGGGGCCGGCACCTGGCTTTTCTACTCCTGGCACTGTACTTCCCAGGACAGCAGAGTGCCATCGGAATCAAGTCCTTCTATGTACTCGTGGCCTCGGCTGCTGCCACCCTGTCCTCACTGCCAGCACCTCCAGCATTTCCCTGTGGTTCCCTGAGTCCTGTGTGCCCTTGGTCTGAGCTCAGGCTGTGTAAAACTGATTTTGACTCTCTCCTGAACATCTGCTGTGCATCACCACAGTGCAAGTCTCTCCTTGCCTCAGCTTCCTCATCCATTAATTTCAGATAGCCCTAAATGTTTTCTTCATGGGTCTAAGGATTAGAAAAGTGAATTAGACAAATCTCAGAGCTGGCAAAGGACTCATATCTAGCATCTATAGAGAACCCTCAACACCACACTGAAAAACATGCATAATTGTTCCAAGTAGAAGACCAGAAAATGATACGTAGAGACATATTCAACATCACAACCATGGGGGAAACACAAAGCAAGTCTGCCATGAAGTGCTGCATGCACCTATTAGAACAGCTAAAATGAAAACTGGTGGCAACACCAGATACTGGCAAAGACGTGGAGAAACTGAGTGACTCACGCACTGCTGGTGGACGTGTAAAATGGTCCAGCCATTCTGGAAGATGGTTTGACTCTTAAAAAACTAAAACTAGAGTTATCATATAACCCAACAGTGGCTTTTCGGGACATTTTTCCCCCAGAAATGAAGACATAGTCACATAAAATTTTACATACAAATGTTTATGGTCACTTTCTATGTAACAGCCAAGACCTAGAAAGAACCCAGATGTCTTTCAATGGTTTGGACACAGTGTATGAATG